AAAAGCTTTGGCTGAACTCACGGGACGTCCTCTGAGTCAGGAAGAAGAGCAAGTCATCGAAAAAGACATGAGCGAGACCGAGGAGGTCGACTACTCGAAGATACTCGCTGTGCTCAAAGAGGAAAGCGACCGCGTGGAGAGCGGCCGCGATCTGTATCAGGATCAGGGTTCTTTCTGGGCACGCTACGGGCTGTACGTGGTGATCTCAGTTGTCCCCACGGTCGTTATCGGCTGCTCCTGCTGCTGCGCGCTATACTGCTGGTCGTGTTCCGGGAGGAAGAGGGAGCGTCGCGAAAGTGGATATGAAAGCATTACTATGATTCCCAAACCCCAGAGCGCACATGTGTAAAACGGCCTGTGGACCTGCGTGAACCTCGACTTCTCCTCTGACTGTATTGAGACTCTCTATAGACCACGGTGAAACGGTGGTGTACAGTGCCTCATACACATGAGAGTTGTGGCGTTTTATACTTTTTGAAAAGAAATTGTCGAATATACACAATGCTTATTTTAATATACACAATGCAAATATTTTGAACGCTGTTGTCTTTTATATACTGTTGAAATAAATTGTCGAATATGTCTGTGTTATGTATGCTTTGGTATATTTGTCACTGATAATAAAATGGCACCACCGAAGCAGCTTGAAGTACTCTTTATTTGTGTATTTTCTTCTAAAGCGTTGGGTGGTTCTACTGCGATTGCTTAGATGAAGAAATCAGCTTTCTCCCGTGTCCTCCGATGATATCCCCGCACATTCGGCGCAGAAAGGCCAGGTACACTTGCCACAGATGTATTTCCGACAGTCGGTGCACACGGTGTGAGTTTTAGCGTCCTTCTCCCTCGGACACACCTGACATCGTTTTCTCTTTTCCGAACGCGGAGGAGTGACGGTTGGACTCGGTCCTCGGATCGTCCTTATCAACGCGCGCGCGGATTCTGCGCGAGGCGCGTGTTTTCTGCGCATTATGAGCGGTGTGACCAGGTCTTTACCTAGGCGCTCTAAAAACAATCGCCTGCGGTTACGCTTTTCGGGCATCCAATCTGGATGCGTTTCTCGCCATATCACAAACGCGTTGAACGCCGACACGTCGAGGATGTTGTGGAACATAGCCACGGGCCAGCGTTTGGTCATTCGTCTGCAGCTGTAGGCTGCGAGCAGTTTGTCTAGGTTGTCCACTCCGCCTTTTGTGCGGTTGTAATCCAGTATCGCTCGCGGCTTCTTGTCCCTGCGCGTCTCGTCGACTTCGGGTCTCGAATGCTTGGTGATTAGAAGTAGCACCGTCTTGTTTTTCCTAGGCACGTAGGACACCAGGGTGACCAGGTCGGAGAAAGCAAACCGGGTCGAGAACACCTCTCGCCCGAAAGCGGACAGCGACTCGGGGGGTAGCTCGGGTTTATTGCGTCTGATAGTACCCAGCATAGTTATGTTTTTCAGGAGGAGCGAGCGAGCGAGTTCGTACGAAGTGAAGAAGTTGTTGCACGTAACCAGCCGATGTTCCAATCCTTGGGTCAGGCTAGTAACAACCTGCGAGGCAAGGTTTGTTGTCCTCGCGCCGGCATTGCCCGCCCTGCCCATGTACTCCTGCATCTTCCACGCGTAGCTGCTGTTCGCGTCGCACAGTACCCAGAGTTTGAGTCCGTACCTGGCCGGCTTCTTTGGCATATACTGACGGAAGGCACATCGACCTGAAACGAGCGGAGTGAAAATCAATATGTGCTATGTGGCCTACGCGGTGCATCAACAAACGGCGACGTACCTTTAAAAGGAACCATGCGTTCATCCACCGTAACCTCAGGTCCAGGTACGTAGAGAGCGGGGAGTCGCTCACGCCACATGTCCCACACTTCTCGAATTGCGGCCAATTTATCCGAGTGTCTCTCGGCACGCGATTCTCGGTCGTCGAACCGCAGCGTTTTCGAACGAAGGTAGAAATCTTTCAGAGACATGGTCGCTCTGAAAATCGCCCTTCCGCACTCAGCATCCCACAGGCTCGCGGCCGCTTCACCTCGAGACCTGTACACACCCGCCAAAATCAACAGGCCCACGTAAGCCCTCAGATCTATTACATCCATCTGCTTCCACGAGTCGCGCGTCCTCGATCCCTCTCGGTTAGTCGCCGCTAACACGAGCTGTTCTAGCTCAGGGGTAAAAAACAATAAAAAGGAGGACAAAATGCTCTGCGCGCCCGCTTTTGCCTCCGCTGTGGGACCGGCGAGGTGTTGCGGTACAGTAACTCGATCCGAATCGCGGAGGGGCACGGATGACCATTCGATTTTCTTATCTTTCGATAGGAATGTGTCTAGGTGCACATGAACACTCGCCCCATCATCATCATCATCATCATCATCATCATCATCATCATCATCATCATCATCATCATCATCATCGGCTTCTTCATCAGCTTCAGTTTCATCCTCATCATCATCCTCCTCTTCTTCGATATCCCCAGCAGCTTCTTCGATTTCATCATCCTCAGTTTCACCATTATGTTCGCTCTCGTTGCCTTCTGAACCGTCGTGTCTGTCGCCATTATCATCTGCTTCACTCGCTTCACTCGCGCGATCGTCCTCATCCTCGGTATCTCGAGCGTAGGGCTGAGCGAATATCCGATCTAATGCGCGCTTCGCTTCGGCCACCCGGCTGGCTGTGAACTCCGCCATAGCGCATAAGCCTCGGTACCCCCGCTGTTGTGTATATATATTACAACGCTTTAAACTCGCTCACCCACTCACATCACCATAACATCAGTTCAAGATTAATGACCGAAATCAGTTACAGCACACACACACACAGATGTTTATCAACACAGGGTTTATTGCATTTGACATAAACAAAAGACATCCAATATTTTATTGCATATGACATAGCACACAACAATCAGCACGTGCGTCGTCATTGTAGAGAACCGTCTCCTTTTTCGCGAAGAAAGCTTGCCACCCCGTCCACTACAGAGAATCCGTATTCCGGTCCGATCTGCGGTCTATTCAGTTTCCAAATGTCGCACACATATTTCAAGGTCCTGAACGTCAATTCGCACTCCGACTTGGTCCAAGCGGAGCGAATCTTTGGCGGTATACTCGCGAATCCCGCGAGTTTCATGGCCATGTCGTAGAATTCGTTCGCTCGTGGCTCCGCGTGCTCGTTCTCGGCATCCGTCCACAGCAAAGCGTCGAGCCGCACGCACCACGGGGAAAAGAGCTTTCGGTTCGTCACCGCTGCGGCCAATAATCTCTTGACACCTAGCCCCTTTGGCGTCATACTGTAATCTGTCCCACATAGAGCCATGAACAGCATCCGTTCCGCGCGGGCTCTCTCGTCTCGCAACACTTCTGGTTTTATGCGCAGAAACAGGTGTCTCCCGGCCCGGGTCAGTCTGAGAAACCGAGCGTGACTAGCCCTGGGCACAAAACCGTTCATGTATGCTTTAGCCACGCACGCGAGACCACCCGTAATCGCTGAGCCTCCGTCGACTCCGTCGATCTCATCGGTCGACGCAGAGTCATCACGTGAGAATCGACCTTTCTTCTCAGAAGGAGCTCTGTTTTCTCGATCGTCGGCGGTAGAGCACAGCGTTTCGAACACGTAGCGAACGACGTCTCCATTCTTCCGCCTCTTGTTGTCCCGTGTGAGTGTCCTCATCCGGACAGCAAACTCACTCAGATTGTTCTGCGCCTCGGACTCGAAGAACTTAGTCAAGAACGACACGTAGACGGAGCCTCGGATCCCTCCGCGACTCAAGTATTCGACCGACTCCGACCTGAACGCTCTCCCTCCGTGGTCCTTCTCCGTGTAACCTTTGGGTCCCGAGGGGCAGCAGTTGCTCGTCTCCGGGTTCTACGTCGCACAGCGCGCAAAAACGTTCGTCGACAGAACCCCCGAGGCGACGCGCGAAGCTGGACTCGCTCTCGAGGTTTGGTTCTGAGAGCAGTTCCCCGAAGGGCGAATCGTGCATCGCTCGGTCCTCGCGGTAACTCCTGTTATCCAACCTTAGCGTCAAACCCTCTCGTCCGCTAACCGTGAGGACCGCGACTAGATCAGAATCTCCCGAGCACAGGGTCACGTCTCCTCTCAAAGCGTTGGCTAGTTCCACTAGCAGCGTGTCGGCTTCGGATTCTCGACACTTTTCGCACGCCTCGCGTAACGCCGCCGTCCGGTCTCCGATCGGATCGGCGAACGTGACCACGAGCAACCCCGTGAGCCCCTCGGGTCTGCGAATCTCACCGTCGCAGTAACAATCCGGCTTCACGACCGGTAACTCCAACGCTACTGCGAGAGAACTCTCGGCAAACGTGGCTCGATTGTCTTCAAACTCTTTAGACTCGAGGTATCCGACGTGAAACGAAATCAACTCATCTTTCTTGTCGGCTCCCGATAACTCCCGGGGAGGTGCACCGGTAACCAAAAAGAAGTTCTCTTTCATACCCATGTCAGCGAGCAGTTTCATCGTCGCGTATTCTATTTCGCCCAAGTGACTTTTACAGAACTCGATATGAGGCGCGATCGCGCGAGTCGACCTGAGTTCTCTCACGCTCGGTTTCTGCACTCCGGGACCGTCTTTCACTAGCACCACGGATCGACCTTCGCGGCCTTCCGGAGCGTAACAAGATGCCAACGTTTTAGCCATGTTCATAACGGATGTCAGCGCGGGCTCGCTTGCCACATAGTCACTCTCTTTGACCCTGTGGATGACCATGAGATGGTCGATCAGAATCCAGTCTTGTCGCTCCGACGGTCTCTGCGTCACCTCGAAAGGCGCCAGGTTTGGATTGGCGAGCATCGCGTGAATCGCCTGATGTTTCAAGCCCATTTCGGCAGCCGTTCGCTCAAGTTGTTTGGTTTCGGTCTCTACTACGGGGGCAATGAAGAGAAGATCAAACCTCGGCGAACGTTATGAACGTTATGCGCGTGCTAATTCTCAGCCCCCGATGTCCGACCGCCCTCCTAATCTCGAGCAACTCTCGCGGCTTTCAGCGTCTTGGTGACACCTGAGATTTTGGCCTTCTCTCGATTGAACATGATATTCCTGTAACACAGATCGGTCGGATCTACGTCGCCTACCTCGGAGCCCGAGCGCTTCGCCACCCTCATGTTCACACAGGTGGGAGTGAGACAGTCCAGCACCTGCGGACACAGGCAGTTCAGGAAGGGAAACTTTTCACGTAGCGTCTTAGATACCGTGGGCCTGAAACAGCTCCTTATCATGACCGTGTTAGTCCCGGGTCTGACTATCACGAGGTACGCGTTTGAGCGTTCGGCCGAGCGCGGATACGTGAGCGAAAACATGACCCAAGTCAGCCATAGCTGCGCATTATAGCGCCACAGAGTAGCGTCGTCCAACACGTCGCTATTTCTGGTCTTGATCTCTAGCAACGCCACGGTGTCACTGACCGTGTCGTGGGCCACGAGATCCACTTCCGTGTAAAAGCTACGCTGACCGCGCAGAGAGCGGCAACCCTTGGCGCAGGCCTTTTAGCCGCGGCTAGCTTCGAACTCGGTCCGGTCGGGCTTAGGCACTCCGGCCACTTTGAGCCCTCCGCAGAGGGGCTTCAGACGCAACGCCTCCAGCTGAGTCAATATCAACCGAGACACGGGCCCGACCTCATGTGAACTTTTTCTCCCATTGAACACGTCCTTGCACTGCGCATCCACCACGGTCCCTATGGTCAACGACAAGCGGCTCGCGCCCCATGCCCGTCTAACAGCCTGTAGGCGCACGGTCTTCTTTTAAACAGGCGTAGCAACGCGCGTCTGAACTCCTCCGCTTTAGCGGCGGGTGCGTTTAAGTTAACCATGTGCTCGCGTAACCAACAAAGCGAGGTCTCGGGGTCCTCGGTCATATCACGCAGGATCCTTGCGAAAAGGTCCATGCATATCATATTATGATGAAAGCGCGCACGTCTCTTGGAACACACGATCGAATCCAAGGTCTTGGTGATGCCGCGCACTTTATACCAACGATGATCCGCGACCGATTTAGCGCACAGGCCATGCTCTTTCGTGTTCTGGAACTCGACGACCGGGTCTAAGAGCTTCATCGTATTAAACGTTTATGCTCGATCGACCGCTCATAGATTCACGGACGCCCGATTTGCGTGCATCGTTAAGGGTATACATACAGATCGAGTCGAGTCAGAGTCGTCCTCGCGCCTCGCAGAATCCATATCATCCCGCGGAAGCAAAATGCAACGCGGTAGAACCGGCCTCGCCGGAGGCTTTGACTCTCTGATCTCTACCGGCAAAGAGTTGTTTCGCGGCAAGCTATCCGCTCCCTCCGTGCTGAACGCGGCGCGATTTAGGGGACAGTTGGGG